GTTATCGCTTAATGTCAAATTAAAGAGTTCAAGGCATACACACGTTACACGGAACACACAAATATACTTAACAAACACAACCTAACCTCGGAAGTAATTGGGAACACTCTCCCTTCTGGCAATCATCAACCGACTCATTGTTTGTCGTGTCGGAAAGGTCGGTTTAATAAGTACTAATGGTGGATCTTGGGGCAAAACCGGGGTGTTCTCAACCGAAGTGGACGCATTGCTGGAGCTTGAAGAACTAGTGCTGCTAAAGGCATTCTCATCCACGACATATCCGTCGTATAATCCCAAAGAGTCGATAACAAATTGGTCAAAACAATTAGAATGCATTTTTATGGTTGAGAACGATTTTTTGTCTTTGCGACAGACATATTTATATACATTTCGAGAATTACATTTTTTGATAACTACGGAAAATAATCTCATTCGTTAGAGTAAGATATATCAACAGATGAGTTCACTAGCCACATTGTTGATAATCGTGATCTTTTAGTCGGAGTTTGAATATATCATGTGTGTAGGACCCGAAATTACCGAACTGTTGTGACTTAAGTGACTTTAAAATATGAAAATTGAATTAATGTTAAATTATTAATTGAATTTACAATTCGTTATCGCTTAATGTCAAATTAAAGAGTTCAAGGCATACACACGTTACACGGAACACACAAATATACTTAACAAACAATAGATATTAACATCCCATTCGCTGATTGATCATGAAATAATTTTATTGGTCTCTATTTTAACAGCGTGGCGCTCAAACTCCCTGATGCAGGTGAGCCCTTTTAAAGGAAATTTTTCTTGTGGCGACCGATGTCTATCTTCATTATTAAATTGGTATATTACATAATGTTAATCGTAAAACATGCAACTTGATCAACTTTTACACGATTGACCAAAAATTTCCAATTATAGTTTTTCTAATAAAGGTGTTTTATATTGAATTTTACAAGTTTCTGAAAACGAACGTTTGTACAATGTAGATTAATTTAGCATTTTGGTCAGCTTGGCTAAAGCTCATGTTTTGTGGTTCATAAATGTTATTTGAACTTGGTAATGTTGCATAAATTTGTCAAGCTTTTTTTATTCATCTTTTCGATTTCGTGTTTCGAGTCAAACAAGGGAATTGTTGAATTCACGGAGGGTTAAACGCATTGTACTATGGGCGGCATGAATGTTTTGAGCATTTGAGAATAACAATTAAGTACTCCGGGTCCAATATTATATATTAACGTTATTCTCAAATGTAGTTTCATTATAATAGCAAATAGTAAGTCATTCGGTACAGAATTAAAGTCCGAGATTGTGCAAATACTTTATTCGGTAATTCCGGAAAATGAAATCCCTGAGCATTATACTGGTGCATAATCCAAAGCGGTCGTGTTACTTTTAAAAAAGAATTTCTAAAATTTTAAAATTTTGATGCCAAGTTCGAAAACAAAAACAAGTTATCCTCCTATACAGTATGTACTGTATAATAAATACTGTAGATATAAAAAATTTAAAAGGTTACTGTTTCGCACTTGAATAAATTGTGCCTATTTTATAATTTGGATTTCTTATTGCCTTCGACAATATTCAGGATAATGAGTATTTTTGTAGCTCTCTATACAAATTATTATCAACCAAATGTTATTCGATTACTATGTTTTTATCGTAAACTTCATTCAAAAATTTCAAATTTAATGTGATATGATTTAATGTTTGTGCTATTTTTAAAAAATTTTAATGTGTATTTTTCAGAATTTTCTTTGTCAACTGTTATATGATTTTTATCAAATATCAATCAAAGATATTTAGAAGAAAAAAATCATTTATAGCAATTCAAATTAATAATGCAGTCTATCTTGAATCAATAATAAAAAAATTTTTTTTTTTATCAAAATATCTATCATCTCGTGTTTTGGCAAAATTTTTAATCAATTAGACAAGTTATGAAATCAAAAAAAAATTTTAAAGTTGATTAGTTTTGTTTATCAGCTTTGATAAAGTAATATGCAATAAGTATTGTAGGAATTACAAAAAAAATAGTATGTATTTTATATATTATTTATGCTATTAAACTTTTTAAGACTAAAGTTTATCAATTGGCTTGTTGTTACTTCAAACTAGAAAAGAACCAATCTGTCGAAGCAAAATTAGTATTAATTTTTATATTAAACAGATAATAAATAGTTGTGCTATATCTTATAAATTTATTTAATTACTGATAATGCAGCTATCTTTGATTACTGGATTTTTTATTTATCTATTGTTTTTATAAGTATTATTTATATATTTGTATTATTTTCTTTTTTTCTATAATTTTATCACATTGACGTTTAATTAAATAATATATTTTTTAATTTAAAATATTGAAAAAGTAGATGTATTTATACTTAATTTAATGTTTTTTTTTTTTTTAAACCCCAACTGGTATTAAATATGAGTACTTTTATTAAGAATTAACTTAACATTTTGAATAATGAAATTCTTGGCATGACATCAATCATCTCATACAAACTATATGTTTCTATATATATGCAGATTAATAATAACCTATCACAGTTTATCCTAGATAAACTAGCTACTACTTTATGAATAGGGTAAATCCAGCTAGGGGCCAGATAGTTAAATACATAGTCATCAATGAAGAAACAGGCTAATTTAGTAGTGAGTTTTTATAAATTTTTGTATTATATTTACTAAACTAGACTGTATAGTATATATCCAATGGGATTTAGTTTTACAGTACCT